TTCACATTGAGTAGGCTGAAGGAGGAAAAAGAGGGGTGGCTGGTCTTGCTGTCCCAGGAGTGGCAGAGGTGTAAGAAAATCAGCATGTAAATAGACCCACACAGTTCAAATTCATATTGTTCAAGGGTCAACTGTATTACCGATAACTAGGTAATTAAACCTTTTCATGAAGATTGAATCTTTTAATATAAGACACCAATCAATAATACTTATATCTCACTTTACTCCAAAACAGATTAAAGTATCTATAATAGACATCTGTTTTGTCTGCCTGGCATCCTATTTGATTCTGTGACTATCAAACCTCTTATTTTGGGGAAATGATCTTTCCTCAATTCCTATCAATCATAGAACCCACATCCCTGGCCATGGAGATGGACCTACGACCTGTCAGGCAGACCAGTGAGAATGCTCCCCTGAGACTTTCAGAATTAGGTCTATGGAGATAGGGGAAATCCTTCCTGTGGACCTAAGTGCTGCTGTTGCCATATCTCCAGCTATGGGGAGGAACCCAGGAGAATGAAGTCAATACACAGAGGAGAAAAGGCAAGGAGAATCCCCAGCATCGTTTGTGTCTGTGAAGTACTCTTCTCCTACTCTTCTCCTTATATGATTAGATGATCCAGTATATTACTCTCTTTCCCAAGCTAATAGATTTCTGTCGTTTCTAGCCAAAAGTTGGGCTAATACAGAAGCTGATATTAAGGGTTTCTGTTTGGTTGGGTTTGAATGTCTAAAATATTATCCTTAAACATAAGCAAAAAATTCTACTGGAGAAAAAATACCTTGAGGTGTGTTCTCCACAAAAGCAAAATTAAGGATATTAGGTTATAGAAGAAAGGTCTTAAAGTTAAAACACTGAGCAGGATCTTATCATCTGAGTCATGTACAAATTCCTTAATTACTCTATACCACAGAGGTATCTATAATTGAAGATAACATCTGTCACTGAACTGTCTTATAGAAAGAATGAGGTTCATAGAGTGCTTTGAGCAACTTGGAAAATAGTAATGTTTGAATCTAATGTATGTGATGCATCACATTTAGAAATGGTGAACTTTGATTAATTTCCTAGTATCCCTGATGCTCAATTTCTTTTTCTGTAAAATGGGGGTGATACCTTTTTTGAGAGGTTGACAGAATTAGCAATCATATCCACATGTGAAGCTGGGAGGTCATGATTCAGCCAAAGGTGATACTACCAGAAAAGGAAGGATAGCCAACTACCCAGGCATCCTTTGCAGGAGTTGATTTACATTTTGAAAAGTGGGCTTGTGTGGGGAAAGCTGTCTGCAGAGGTGTGTACTTACGTGCTTGGGGAAAAGACAGGAGACCTGAGGACAATAAGAGATGGTAGTAGTTGGTTCCTATCCCAGAACAATGCACTGGCCCCTACTGGAAGAGAGGCAAAGAAGCTGTACCCTGGAAACACAGCACTATTTTGGCAACTTAAGTGTTTCACAGTTTGGGAACATCTAAGCAAGGCAGCATTCTCCTACAGGAACAGCAGCATTAGAAATAGTGGAGGCTCAACAGAAGCCTGGCATGAGTAGGCTGCACCCAAGAGTGTGAACTTGTTTGTGAATCAGTGAGGAAACCCCTGAGACTTCCAAAAATAGTTGGGGAGAGGACTCTTCAGGGGACTGAGATCTCGTATGCAATGGAATTCTGAGTCAGCAAAATTTGGGTGTAAATGCTAATGTGGCTTTGTAAGAGAACACTGATCCTTGAAATAGCTGGGTTCCACATATAACAAGATTTGGCATTGAAGTATGAGCCCTATAAATGGCTATACTGTCATGCTAAGATTAACACCATGCAACAACATGGATGAACCTGGAGGACATTATGTGTAGGAAAATAAACCAGACACAGAAAAAGAAATAATACTGCATGATCCCACTCATGTGGAATCTAAAAAAAGTTTTATCTCATAGGGAACAGAACCATGGTTACCAGAGACTGAGGAGGGGAGAGCAGAAGGAAGGAAAGGGGGGTCAATGGGTACAAAGTTACAACTAGATAGGAGGAATAAGTGCTGGTGTTCTGTTGCACAGTAGGGTGACTATGGTTTGCAACAGTAAGGTAGTATATATTACAAAATAGCTAGAAAAGAGGATTTTTAAATGTTCTCACCACAAAGAAATGATACATGCATGAGAGGATAGATATGCTAAGTACTCCAATTTGATCATTACACAACATATACATGTATTGAAACATCAAACTGTGCCCCCATAAACATGTACAGCTTCAACATGTCAAAAATTATTGTAAAAATTGAAAAAAAAAAAAAGAATTCTATCCACATCTCAAGATTGGCCAGGTGGATGTTACGAGCTTTGAGAATGAGGTCACATGATTTCTTCTGTGTTAGTTAAAAGCATAATTAATTTCGATTAGGCCTTTGACCTTACTAACAGAAGAGTTTACTGACTTACATATGCCCTCACCTCATTCTATCAAGAAGCTGAGGGGGCTAAGCAAAATAAACTGGCCAAAGGTTACCTTTATACACAAATTTTCGGGTAAACATTAATGAACTTTGACTCACATCATCTACATTTTCTAGTAAAGAGTGGGAAATTTTCTCTAAAACAAAAGCATTCAATATAACTGCTTTTGTGCCACTAACATTTTTGTTATCAAACATACCACAAATGACAAAGCAAATCTACAGAAGCTTCATGGGACAGGAACTAAGTATTCATCTCAAGTGGGATAAAAATGTTCATAAATTTAGTAAATTTTAAAATTTAGAAAAATAAATTAAAATACTATAGAAAGAAAAACATTTGTTAAAGAGTTTTTCTGATTGTTCCTTTTAAAGTTTTGACATGTTCATCAGTTTTGTAGTCTTATCTGAATAACACTAATGTTTAGAACACCTACTGTTAGTACCAGTCACCACTCTGACACTCTACCTGAATTACAATGGCACCCTAACATATGTCCACTTGGGTAAGAATTCAGCTTTAGGAGGAGTTTCATAAAGTCTGGCGTAGGAAGCATTTGCTTTAACGAAGCCACATTTGCATTTCCCAGGCTTTAGAAGCAGCAAAGCTCCACCATCTGCACAAACTTATAGATCACAGGAGTTACTTCTGTCTTCACAGTTTACTAGTAGTTTACTAGTTTTTAGCAGTAGCATTATGACTTCTATGATGGCAGTCTACCTGGTGAGCACAATGTTTGAATGATTTTCACTAATTTTTCCTGTGTTTTTTTTTTTTTTTTTTTTTCGGGCATTAGAGTTTCAACTACATAAATTATCATACATACGTTGTTCGTTAACTGTTGTCTTCAGTGTACACCGGGCAATAGCTATAAAAGCTTAGGGAAAGCAGGTAAATGGCCATATGATCAAGTGATTATGAAGAGAAAATGCCTCGTTAGGTTGTATTGGGATAGCTAATGTCAACTATTGAAATAACTGTCATCATTTTAATGAGATTTGATATTGTTTTAGCAAAATGTCTGCCAGTTTTAGAGCTCAGCACATTTTTTTCCTATCTACAGAAGTTAATGGTAAATATATTCTTTCTTTTTTTTTGAGATGGAGTCTCACTCTGTCACCCAGGCTGGAGTGCAGTGGCGTGATCTTGGCTCACTGCAAGCTCTGACTTTTGGGTACACGCCATTCTCCTGCCTCAGCCTCCCGAGTAGCTGGGACTACAGGCACCTGTCACCATGCCCAGCTAATTTTTTGTATTTTTAGTAGAGACGGGGTTTCACTGTTTTTGCCAGGATGGTCTCAATTTCCTGATCTCATGATCCGCCCGCCTTGGCCTCCCAAAGTGCTGGGATTACAGGTGCGAGCCACCATGCCCAGCCTGGTAATTATATTCTTGACAAGGCAAAGTGAACCTAGGAAATTTTTTTCAGAATTATCTTTTTGAGATGATTGGACACTGTAACTCATTTAATCCTCATAACAGTTCTAAGCGATAACTGCTGTTTATTGTCAAATATGTATTTAGCACTTGTATTAGGCTGTTCTTTCTATAAATACCTGCGAGTGCGTAATTTATAAATTTATAAAGAAAAGATGTTTAATTGGCTCATGGTTCTACAGATGACAGGAAGCATGGTGCTGGCATCTGCTCAGCTTCTAGGGAGGCCTCAGGAAGCTTACAATCATGGCAGAAGGTGAAAGGGGAGCAGGCATGTCATATGATGGAAGTAGGAGCAAGTGAGAGTAGGGGATGGGGAGGTGCCACACACTTTTAAATGACCAGATCTAGATCTTGTGTGAACTCAGAGCAAGAGCTCACTTACCACCCAAAGGATAGCCCAAGTCATTCATGAGAGATACGATCTAATCCACACACCTCCCACCAGGCTCCACCTCCAAGATTGGGGATTACATTTCAACATGAGATTTGGGTGGGGACAAATATCCAAACTTCATCAGCACTTATATCCAAGGATTATATGTAATACTAAAATAGTCCTGCTCTGGGTGGATACTAATGTCATCCCCATTTAATAGTGAGAAAACTGAGGCACAGAGAAATTAAGTAGCTTGGCCAATCTGAAATTAATATTAGTCTGTTTTATAGAACAAAGAACTGTCACAAATATCTATGTAAAATATTTACACCACCACCTGCCAATTATTGAGTGCTAAGCACTGTATAATTTCTAAATTAATACTTCCAACCCTGTAAAGTAGCTATTATCTTAATTTTACAGATAAAGAAACTAGTGCATATAGAGAAAAAACCTGCCAAAGATCATATAGCTAGTTAGGATAGAGCTGAGATCGGCCCCCACATGTATCTAAGTCAAAACCTATGCTTTTGACCAAGTCAGAAGTCCAGTACAATATAATCACAGATAGGGAGAGGGAATAGGATTTCTGAGTTGAAAAAAAAGACTACATTTCATTATTATTATATCACCTCCAGTATAGCAAATAACAGAAACAGAGGTAAAAATCTCTTAGAAATTGGTCTCTATACCATACCCAATGGTACAATGACAACATAAGGAGAAGCGAGTTTTCTAATGATTTTTATGATGACATTTATAACATTTAAAAGTAGTTCAGACTGAGAAGAAATGCTTTAGCCTTAAAATTAAAGCTAACAGAAGTCCCCCCACCTTTCCTACCTTCTTTACAATGCAGTATGTGTGCTCCAGCATTACTTACACTGTGCCACATATGGCAATAGATTTGTTATTCCCTGTAACAGCTTACTCAGGGAAATTATAAAATTCCTTATCTCAGGTTTCTAAAAACCAGTTTTTTGTCTGATAGGGTAGTTTCATGGTGGTCCTTTCTAAAATCAGAAAAGTCAACTGGACAACCTTTCAAAGTTTCTCCTAAACCTTTTATGAAATAGCTATGCCAATGGAGTACTAAAAATCTTTCCAAAAAATGTAAAGGGATGTTTGTTAAAACAATGCTCAAGAGATTTGATTCCACATAGGAACCAGTACAGTAAGTAACAATGCAAGCTGCTATACTACATAAAATATTCTACAGGGTTCAGAATAGAACATGTCAGAAACTTCTATAAAGGCTTTTTGTGCAATGGAGAAATTTTATGGTTAGAAATTTTATTCAAACATACATAGTTACAACTACCATCAAATAAGTATAAAATATATTCAAAGAATTAACCAGAAAGGGTTCTTCAAAGATAATCATAAAATATCCTAAAATATCAAGAGTATGATGGTAGTAACAAGACCATGAGAGAAAACTGAAATTATACATCAGGTTTGTACAGTTTCAGGTACCCACAACTTTAATGTAATAATGCTAGTAAGCAGCCTTTGAGTATTTCCTATACACCATCATGACAGTTAAATAATTCTCCCACGTTATTTCATTTAATCTTCACTAACCTTAGAAAGTTATTCACCAATTTCATTTTACCAGTGAGGAAACGGAAGCTTAAAGAGATTAGCTCATATAGCTAATATATGATTGATCTGGGTTAAAGTTTAAACCCACTGGCCGGGCGTGGTGGCTCACGCCTGTAATCCCAGCACTTTGGGAGGCCGAGGCGGGCGGATCACAAGGTCAGGAGATCGAGACCACGGTGAAACCCCGTCTCTACTAAAAATACAAAAAATTAGCCGGGCGCAGTTGTGGGCGCCTGTAGTCCCAGCTACTCGGGAGGCTGAGGCAGGAGAATGGCGTGAACCCGGGAGGCGGAGCTTGCAGTGAGCCGAGATCGCGCCACTGCACTCCAGCCTGGGCGACAGAGCGAGACTCCGTCTCAAAAAAAAAAAAAAAAAAAAAAAAAGTTTAAACCCACATAGTCCAACTACAGAGCCCAAGCTCTTAATCACTGTGCTATGCTTCCTCCATAGGACAAAACTTATTCACCATCAAGAAAAAAGATTTTTAAAATACTAAAATGAAGTGAAATGGCCAAGGAAGAAGAGAAGACTTTGGTAGTCTTCAAACTGAATAATCCTTGAATCATTCTGACCTCACTTCGTCTTTTAGGGGTTTACTCCAATTGGCTACAAATATAATGGGTCCAAGAACTGGGGATTAATTACCCATTTTATCTGTAGCTGATTTTCCCAGTTTCCTTTTGCTCTCTTACCTATCGTGTCGGGGGGTGGGGGAAGGCTCCCTGCAAATCCAGACAAGCAGACTTTAAAACTGTGTTCACATCATCACATTATTCCAGTTGTTTCATTACTCACGTACATGGTGACTTCAGAAATTCTTAGAATAATCTGGTACACTAAATGTCAATTATGATTTTCGGCTCTTAGCAACCCACTGTGTGTCGTTCTGGCTTCAAGAAAGACTCTAAAAATATGGTCACTCTTGTTTACATCTTCTCTGGAAATTCAGATAACACGGAATCAAAGTAAGCATTTTAAAGTACAAGATATTTTCTGCTCTCCTTAGCTTTTTGTGTTCTTGAATAATAAGAAGAAACTACCCTACAGGCCACCATGCCAGGGTATAAGAAGAGAATGAAACAGAAATCAGTAACATACAACAGGTACCTTATAAATACTGCCTAACTTTTGCCATTCATATCTAACTTCCTTCAAGTTTTCAAGCATGGGTCACAAACAAAGAAGACAAGAGCACCATGCAATGATTACTGAAAATATAAGCATACAAGTGATTTTTCTATTAAAATACTTTATGAAATGATATGTAAAATTATTATACAGGATGAATTTTAATAATCTCCACTTTTAAAAGCTTTTAACAAGAAGTCTGCTGCCAGTCCTGGGGACAGGGCCCCAGTGAGAACCTTTTGTTCCAGAAGTGGAATCTGTTCCCGGACTGTGGGATGGGTCCTGAAATACTCTAACACACTTTCCTGAATGAGATTCCACATCCAAACTTTCTGTTGCTTCCGTCGTTTGGCAGTCAGTTCCCCACTGGCAAGCATTAGGTTCTGGAAATCTTTCATTTTATCCCACATTTCAGAGATTCCCTCTCCACTTCTGGCAGAAATACGAATTACCTATTGAAAAGGGAAGAACCAGACCATCTCACTTAAAATGATAGAAAACATTTTCATGGGGACTGTGATACCTGCCAGTTAATTCTTATAGTCTACAGAAATAGGCAATTGACAAGAATGAGACTTTATTGCTGTGTCAAAGTAAACATACAAAGTAAACAGTAAATATATTCTGATGTAAAATACCTAGGATTACTAAGTGCATAGCAGAAATAAAACACTGATTCAAGGTCAAATTTTAAGCCCAGAGATTTGTTTTAATTTAATTTATTTTATTTTAATTGCTCAGATGGTCGGGGCATCATAGAGGACTTGTGACAAGGGCAATGCCAGGTAGGTTCCCCTGAGACCTGAGTGCCAGCAAATGAAGGTAAGTTGAGAAATAGCCTAATTCCCTCTGTCAAATTTGCCTGATTTAGTAAGTGGAAGAGCTGGGCATCTGACATCTGCATGTATATATAAGGTGGCTCCAGACTCAATACAGACAACGTGATTGGGAAAAACTGGGATATGACAGTAAGATAAGTCATCATTATTCTCATTATAATGATTGCAGCTTATTCTTTAATAATATAGTGTCTGTCTACAGATAAAGAGGCCCACATCAATATTACTGCCTCACTTATTACAGGATTAAAATTTTTTTCCTTACTGAAAATGGCACCCAACAAACATAATGGGAATGGAGGTATCACATCACAAGCCTTTTCTCTCTTACTCAAATTCCAACATAGATAATCAAATCATTAACTGCTCCATAATCTTAAGGACGGTTCCTTTCAGAATGGATTTGCTATCACTTCCAAATGGCTCAAATCAAGTATTACAATCACATCTATCATCTCTGATCTAGTTTTTGACATCTAGTGGTTAAAGGATTATATTTAAAATCATGACTACACACTCTGGCTTTGTCATGATTTTTAAAACTATAATCTTCACATAGAAGCAAGATTGATTATATGTCTAGTTTGGGACTTACATCCTGTCTTCTAATGTACACAATCCATTCAGAGTGAAAGATACAGAATGCAAGCAAGCTTACCTTTGGTTTCCAGACTTGTGAACGTTTGCGGAGTAATTTCAGTGCACTCACATACTCCGCTTGTATCCTTCGAGCTGGTACAATCAAGTCTCCATCAGATTTAGTTACAGCTACCAGATCTGCCATCTCGATTATACCCCTTTTGATACCCTAAAGAGATCAGAAACATTTAATGACAACCAACATAAAAATGGGAAAACTAGTCAATGCTAAGATTTTGAAAGTCATACATTTCATTAACTTTTCATCTGTATCCTCCTAAGCCCTGGATGCCAAGAATCACCATTACTTGACAGAAATTACTCAAAAGCATTGGCTGTTGGAATTATAGATGTCGTCTGTAACATCTCTTCCAAATTTAGAGACTAACATGTTGAAACACATTCAGAATTAGGGTAAATACATCAAGTCACAACAAGATTGAGTGGCAGGAGAGTTCACATTGTCTCGTGATGGAATCTGCTTCTCATGAGCTAACACTGGAGGATGCAAAACCATCCATCAGTAAGGTGCTTAAAAAGAAAACATACCTATCATTAACATCCGCATTTCCAGAAAAAAGTCTTTGAAATTTTCCTTAAATGTATATAGCATTTTATTTTCAATTTGCATTTGAGGAAAAATAACCTGATGTCTACAAACCCATCAATCTCTTTTTTTATTATTATTTCTTTTTATACTTTGTATTTTTCTTCTTTCAGCTTTGTGTGGACAAACCTCAATCTCTTAATTCAAATTATGTCACATAAAAATATTAAAAATAAAGGATGAAATCCAAAAGTCAAACCTTATTTAGTAAATACAGGTTTTTCTACATAAGATTAAAATTTCTTTTCAAATATTTTTAAACAAAACTTTCAATTATGAAATTCTAAGAGTTAATGCTTCTAAATAAGCAGCCATGATCTGTAATCACTGTTTTAGAATTATAAAATTGAAACAGAAGCATTGTGTAACAAATAATTTGTCTGGGCTAGGTGTGGTGGCTCACACCAGTAATCCCAGCACTTAAGGAACCTGAGGCAGAAGAATCGCCTGAGGTCAAGAGTTCAAGACCAACTCGGGCAACAAAGCAAGACTTCATCTGTAGGAAAAAAAAAATTACAAAAATTAGCTGAGAGTGGTTGCACATGGCTGTAGTCCCAGCTACTTGGGAGGCTGAGGCAGGACGATCACTTGAGCCCAGGAGTTCAAGGTTACAGTGAGTTATGATCACACCACTGCATTCTAGCCTGGGAAACAGAGTGAGACCTTGTCTCTGAAAAAAAAAAAAAAGGAAAGTATTTGTCTGGTCTTTGAATTTCTGGGAGGTAATCTTTTAAGTTCTAAATTCCCAGAATTTCCTGAGTAACAGTAGTGTCTGTTAATCATGGGAGGTGCCTGGGGCTATACCTGAGTTTATGCAATGAGATCACTCAGGATGGGGGACTGACCATGGCAGAAAGACCTATCATGTAATTAGAGGGTTGGGGTTTTATGCCATGTGATATCAACCTAACTTCCAGGGAGGGGACAGGGGCTAGAGATCAAGTTCAATTATTCAATCAATCATGCCTATATAATGAAACCCCAAGAAAAACTTGGGATACTAAAGCTCAGGGGAGCCTTCTGGTTGGTGATACACATCAATATGCCAGGAGAGAAATGTGTCTTGAAGACACAGAAGCTTTGCATTTGGGCCCTCCCAGAGTTCTTATGTGTCTCTTCATTTGGATGGTCCTCATTTGTCTCCTTTAAAAGCACATTGCAATTGTAATATAATGCTTTCCTGAGTTCTCTGAGTCACCCTAGTGCAGGAGTCCCCAACCCCCAGGCCACGGAGGAACTGGGCCTCACAGCAGGTGGGCAGCAGGTGGGCGAGCATTACTGCCTGAGCTCTGCCCTGTTAGACCAGAGGCAACATCTGATTCTCATAGAAGAGTAAACTCTATTGTGAACTACGCATGCTAGGGATCTAGGTTGTGCACTCCTCATGAGAACCTAATTGATGCCTGATGATCTGAGGTGGAACAGTTTCATCCCAAAACCATGCCCTCTTACCCCCAGTCTGTGGAAAATTGTCTTCTATGAAACCAGTCCCTGGTGCCAAAAAGGTTGGGGACCACTGCTCTAGTGAATTACTAAACCTAAGGGATAATGGGAACTCTCAAATTTATAGCCAGTTGGTCAGAGGTATGAGTGGCCTGGCAACCCTGGAGCTTGCAGCTAGTGTCTGAAGCGAGAGGAGGCTTGTGGAGGACTATGCCCTCACCCTATGAAGTCTGCACTAACTTTGGGTAGTAGTGCCAGAACTGCAGTGCAGGAGGAGAGTAAGAATCCCATTGTACAACATATAAACTATGATAGTGGGATCCCACTATCCCTAGAACTTTTGAATCAAGTATACTAACAACATCTATGCAACAATGGTCTCTTCTGAGTGGAGCGATGCATGTATTTTAGTCATGTTACAGATGGAAAAATTTATGTTGCATAATTTTACATTCTCAAGGTCATATATTCTATTCCTGTAAGTTAGGAAAAAATATAAAGAATCTGCCTTTGTTTCAGGTATTTTAGCCAACATGAATGATGTTTCATTTTCTAAACCATTATCAACTTAGTTTACAAAAACACAACATTGGAAATTTTTATTTTCAGAGATATACAGTTTGTATTTTTGGGGAAAAAAATAAAAATAATTACCTGCAACTCATCTCCTCCTGCTGGTGGCAGTAGTAAAACAAACATGTCAACCATGTCAGCAACAGCAAACTCCGACTGACCCACACCTGAAATTTTAAATCACAACTATATCCTAAAATACTCACCATTATTAGACTTTCTCAACTACATTGACCATCATTTTCATTCAACTTCATTCACTCATACTCATGGTCACACAGTCAACCTGGTCACCTCTTTAAACATCGCACTTCTGAAGAATGTATTAAATGTCATATCTTACCCTCTAAGCAAACCAGTTATCCTTCCCAGCTCTCCTGCTCTGTTCTTGGATTGTATGGAGAACCTAAAGGCTTCCATCCTCTCCTCACTCTCACAGCTCTTTCTTGGCTTCCCTTTCATCAGCGAGCAGCTTGAACACTGTGACTCTAGTCTTGAATCATGCCTGCAAATACTTTCATCTTTTTTGTCTTCTTGTCCTCACACTTGCCTGCAAACGCCCAATTATGTAGGGATCAATCCCACTATGTGTGTTCTCTCCTCCATAAGCACGTGAGAGAAATCACTCAGCTCTGTGGACAAGAGCCACGACAGGCAGCCTCTGCTACATCTTCCTTACGGCCTGGCAAAAGCAATCTCCCTAAACGCCCTCAGTTGGCTTCCATTCCATTTCCCACAGCAGCTATTATGACCATTCACTGTACCATAATCTCCCCGCTTGATCAGGAGCACAGCACCTACTTCACAGAGGAAATAAAGGCAAGAACTTTCTAGGCTTCTTCCTCTCCCATACTCCACAGGTAACAAGACACAAACACAAACAGCCTAAAGCCTCCTCTGCAGTCTCAGTGTAAGAACTATTTGACTGAAAAGGAATCTCTCATTCTTTTTCAGTTCCTCTGGGTCCTTGCTGATTTTTATCTTTAACCTCTTGTTTGTCTACAGGCTCTTGCCCTCCGGCACAATACATAAATTGTGCTCAAATCTTTCTCATCTTAAAACCACATAAAACAAAAACAACAACAACAAAATAACAAGACAAAAACTCACAAACTCCTCCAACTATCACCATGTTTCTCACTTTTTAAAAAAATACCCAAGTTTCTGGAAAAAGGTAATTTATGCTCACTCCTTCCACTTCAATTCATGTTCATCTCATACCACTTAAAACTGGCTTCCAGTATGGGTGATGTAGTGAGACCCTGTCTCTGCAAAAAATACAAAAATTAGCTGGGCATGGTAGTGTACCTATAGTCCCAGCTATTTGGGAAGCTGAGGTGGAAGGACAGCTTGAACCTGAGCCTGGGAAGTTGAGGCTGCAGTGAGCTGTGATTGCACTGCTGTACTCCCACCTGGGCAACATGGTGATACCCCATCTCAAAAAAAAATCTTCCTTCCACCAAAACTCTGGAAACTCTCTCCCTCTCACAGTGTGATGGACTTCTAGTTGCCTATTTAATATTTATTCTTTCCTATTTTCTTACCCAAATGTTATTAGGAGTATCAACGTATCAGATGAAAGACCACATTCACAAGATCCCCTTTCAGCTAGATATGATGAATGAGTCAAAGCAACAGTCATTAGATGGGGTTTCCAGAAAAGTATTTTGAAGATGGCTAATCCAGCTAAATCTCTTATACCACTCCTCCCTGCTTCCTTATTTCCCTTTCCTTCTTCGATCTATGGAAGCGTCAGTCAGAGCTTCATCAGCCATCTTTTAACCATGAGCAAACTGAGGAGGATGGAAAGTGAGTGCTAAGAATGGTAATCTGGCAGACAAAAGAAACCTGTGACACCGACAGCACTGTCAAAGCACCTTACCTGCTCCGGACTGCCTGCCTCAGGCTCCTTTTTATTTTAAAGAGAGACTGGGTCTTGCTCTGTTGCCCAGGCTAGAGTGCAATGGCACGATCATGGCTCACTGCAGCCTTGAACTCCTGGGCTCAAGTCATCCTTTCACCTCAGCCTCCTGAGTAGATGGAACTACAGGTGTGTAACATGATGCCTGGCTAATTTTTTTTCTGGCAGAGCCAAGGTTTTGCTATGTCGCCCAGGCTGGTCTCAAACTCCTGGGCTCAAGCAATCCTTCCCCCTTGGCCTCCTGAACTGCTGGGACTACAGGAATAAGCTACCATGCCTGGCCTCAGGGTTCTTTTATTTTATTTTTTGAGACAGAGTCTCACTTTGTCACCCCAGCTGGAGTGCAGTGGTGCCATCACAGCTCACTGCAGCCTCAAACTCCCCAGGCTCATGTGATCCTCCCACCTCAGCCTGCCAAGTGGCTGGGACTACAGGTGCGCACCACCATGCCCAGCTAATTTTTTTATTTTTCTGTAGAGATGGGGTTTTACCATCTTGCCCAGGGAGGTTTGGAACTCCTGGGTTCAAGCAGTCTGCCTGCGTTGGCCTCCCAAAGTGCTGGGATTACAGGCTGGGGCCACAATGCCCTCTCTAGGTCTCTTTTATTTAGAAAATAACCTCTTTCTTGTTTGAGTCACTGTTATTTTGAGTTTCTAGGAAAGGTGGCTAAATACAATTTCCAGGTAATATATTTGGTTTCTAAGGTGCTCTTCTCCTTTGATTCTCTACTACCACTCAGGCAACTAACTCTTCATTCATCTACTTTTTAATGGTGGAGTTTCTAAAGCCCTCTCATGGCTATTGTTATGAACTGAGTTGTGTTCCCCTCATCTAAAAACATTCCTATGTTAGGCCAGGTGTGGTGGCTCAAGCCTGTAATCCCAGCACTTTGGCAGGCCGAGGCAGGCGGATCACAAGGTCAGGTGTTCGAGACCAGCCTGGCCAATATGGTGAAACCCTGTCTCTACTAAAAATACAAAAATTAACCAGGTGTGGTGGTGCACACCTGTATTCCCAGCAACTCGGGAGGCTGAGGCAGGAGAATCATTTGAACCCGGGAGGCAGAGGTTGCAGTGAGCCAAGATTGCGCCACTGCACTCCAGCCTGGATGACAGAGCGAGACTCTGTCTTTAAAAAAAAAAAACAACAACAGAAAAAAAACCACATTCCTATGTTAAAGTTCTAACCCTCAAGGTGACTTTATTTGGAGATAGGGCCTTGAAAGAAGCAATTAAATGAAGTTACAAGGGTAGGGCCTTAATCCAATAGGACTAGTGGCCTTAATCCAATAGGACTAGTGTCCTCAAAAGGACAGGAAGAGACACTAGGAGAGTAAAGTGAACAGGAAGAGACAAGGGAGAGTGAAGATGCAGCAAGAAGGCAGTCATCTATCTACAAGACAAAGGTACGGGTCTTAGGAAAAACCAACCCTATGGGCACCTTGATGCTGAACTTCTGTTCTCCAGAACTGTGAGAAAACACATTTCTGTTGTTTAAACCATCCAGTCTGTAGTATTTTGTTATGGCAGCCCTAGCGGATTAATATAAATGTCTTTCATTTTTGTCTGATATTTTCCCCAGTTGATCTAAACCAAATTCTTAACTTAAAGTATGAAACTATGAACTATGCTGGTAAGTGTTAAATCTGTATTTCTCATTCAGTCCTTTTCTCTTGAGACACACAGTCACTCGGATACCTAATAAGCATTTAACACTTAACATATTCACAACTGAACTCTGCACATCCACTTTTTCCACAGTATTCTCTATTATCTGCAATTCCCCTTCCTTCCTTATCTCACATCTTATCATGGATAAAATTCTGCCCATTTATCTTCAATGTTATGTTGATCCATCTCATCTCCATTCCTACTTCCTTTGCTTCATTCACACCTCTACCATCTCCTTCTGGGATTAGCACAGTAGTCTCCTGATTCTATTCTAGCCCTCCTTCTAATCATTCTATACTCTGCTGCCAGGGATCTCTCCAAAATACATATCTAGTTTTCCCACTCTCCTGCTTATCCAGCAGCATCTTCCCACTCCTTTCAGGGCAAACTCCAGAAGACGCCATGGCATGGCATGTAAGGTCGCTGACAGTCTGGCCCTGGCCTACTGCTCCAACTGACCTCCCTTCATTCCCTGCCTTCACACTCTGGGCTCTAAGTATCCTGAGCAAACCGCACTTCTCTGGATGGGCCATGTTTTCACTCCTGTGTATCTTTGCAAATGTCCTTTATCCCATACTTTAACTCGAATTCTTCCTTCAAAACTGAGTTCAGCTGTCACCTCCTCTACAAAGTCTTCACTGGACCCCCAAATCTGAGTTAGGCTGTATCACAAACATTTCTCACACAGTAATATAATAGACTGTCTCTCCACAAGAAAGAATTTATTGGGGTTTTCATTTCAGTGTCTTCATCACATGTAACTATATGCTAAGGATATAAAACAATGAAACAAAACATATCTGCATTTTCAAAAGGCAGCCAGCTACATTAATTTTCTTGGTGAACACAGTAGACACATGAAATGTACTTAAACAAAATAGGTGTTGTGCTAAAGCATCATTTACACAGATCATCCTAATGCTTACAGTTCTCCTCTGGCATGTATAATATACCACCTATGTAACAGTTATCCAGATAGATGGCTTATTTTTACTTTTTAAGATAAGATCTTGGAGGGTACAGATTATAACCTATACATTCATATCTTCTATGGAGTATGGGATATCTTGTATTTAATTACACATTTAGCAAATATCTGCTGAATGAACAAAAATAAGTTGTCACTCATCTTTATATAGCATTCATAAAATAGTATATTGTTATGAAATAGAATATCATACTCACCTACGGTTTCAATAAGAATTATGTCATATCCTGCTCCTTCACACAACAGAATAGCTTCATTTGTGGTCCTTGTCACGCCTCCTAAAGTTCCTCTAGTAGGAGATGGCCTGATGTATGCATTCATATCTCTTGATAACTCAGTCATTCGGGTTTTATCACCTAAAAGTGATCCTAAAACATACGGTTACCTTTTATAATCGTGGAACAGTTTTACAGGTCAATTATCAGCCAGGTCCTAGAGGGAAGTGCTTTATGCCATTTTTCCCTAAATCTCAAACTGCATTTCATATTACTGAGCTTCTCTCCAACTCATTGTATACAATGATGTCAGATTAATCTTAACATTTCAAGTCCCTCAAAACCTATAATTTTAACTTCCCCCTGACCAAAGGTTCCAATCTAGATTCTTCAGCCGCACCTTACCTGTCCAACTCTGGTTTCTACTAGTCCTCACACCACTCCTCTGTTCTAACCAGGGTGGTTACTTTACTGTCATCTTAATATCACTGTGTTTGCTTCTGCCCATCTTTTGTTTGTGCTCTCATGTCAGAAGTATCTCTTCTGTTTCCTCACTGCTAAGTTACAGCGTGTCAAGCCCAGGGTCTGTATTCTGGCCCCACCATTTCACACTGTTCAATTTTGAGAGGTCACTTTACCTTCCTGAACCCTCTTTCCTCAGCTACATCACAAGGGTAATATGCTACTGGGAGAACCAAATGTAATTATGTACAGGCATGTGCTTCAAAAACCGTTACTAACAAAAACACAGAATGTATCCACCTAATAAAGATCAGTGAAAGTCCTTGCTCCTTCATATAGTCTGCCTGGAACCTTTTCAGCTCACGCCCATCTCTGTGATTTTTCTATGCTACAACAGCTCTGCAATGTATGCCAGCACCCTGGAGGGCATAAGAGAACTTTAGTGTCCCTCCTCTTTCTATTATCTCCATGAGCACCCTCCACTCCTCATTCTTTTATTTTTGCAAATGACATTTTCTCAACCTTACGTAAATGCTACACAAATATATCTTCAAGCTGCCCCTTCTGCCCAGTCTGTTGCTTCTAATCGCCTACTACTTAGAAAATGTGGAGCTCTCACTGAATGCAATGTAAGCTGAGTTAATGGATGGAAAACTATTCATACAACACATTTTTTGGTTTCATATTTTTAATTCTTATCTCTTTCACACAGTGGTTCTCAACTGGGGGCAATTTGGCAATGTCTAGAGACAAATTTACTTGTCACAAGTGAGGGGTAGGGTGCTACTGGCATCTACTGGGTAGAGGCCAGGTATGCTGCTAAGTAAGCATCCTTCAATGCACAGGACAGCCACCCACAACACAGAATGATTTGACCTAAAATGTCAGTACTGCCAAGGTTGAGATACCATGCTTTAAATAAGTATTTGCCTACAGGACCACGCCTTACATAGGTTGTACACTAAATGCTTAACAAAGTGTTAAGAGTAGGCACTCAATAACTGTGGAATGAAACTGGTCATGTTTTTGTTTTCATTGTAGCATAATATTTTGACAAACATCAATACTTACAAGTTCTAGAAGACTAAAACTCCCGGGACTATTACCTTTTACTACTTTGCTTTAGTCATATAACAACATTTGTAGGTGTACCGCTGTTCTAAGCTGAATATTTATTTCCCCTCTTTTTAAGAGCTACCTTTTCCACATAATGTTAAAGATTGAAAAGTTTCTTAAAGATATGCTCTTTTACCACCAAATGCCAGTTCAGAGTCTTCTCATAGGTTCTAATTCTAGACCACACATGTACTCCATACATCAACTTCCTTATTTACTTCACACACAACATTTTTCCAAGGTAATTTTCTGCATGAAATAATCTCTGTGTAAGTAAACAATCTGCCAAAGCTATACTTTAAATTCCTATCCTATAGATTCCATCACATTGAAGTAAACATTAGGAAATTACTCTCCCATGTCTTAGCCAGCGATTCCAAAACTGTTAATTGTAGACCCTCATGAAAGTCTCAAAGCTATCATAGGGGGTCTGTGAATTCAAAGCACAAAAAAGATTGACTATAGACCAAAAAACTAATGCTTCTCAAACTTTAATGTAATGCTGTTTTTCAAGTGTATATACTGATACAATAGGGTAGAAATTTATATTTAGAGTGTTTTGTCTATCCTTGTATTTTTCTTTCAAAGTCTACATAATTTTTTGCCTGAGAAAGGGACCACTATTTTTTGAGAAAGGTTAGGAACCACATAGCTATGTAACTTTAAACATAGGCTATTTTTTGTTACATTATTTTTGTCTATTTTTATCTCAAGCCATTATTTTTTTTCTATTTTTCAGTATTCTAGAATATTGTGAAAATGGGGGAATGGCCTTCTCACCTATATATAAATGAGGGCCACTTACTAAAAAATCCTTCATTAAGTACTTACTTTTAACAAAGTTCTAAAGCTGTAAATAAGACAACATATTGACAGGGATTTAATTTTGAACCTTGTGAGCAAAAATTTTATTTTACAGTTAACTTTTTTTTATTATAGTGACTCAAAAATTTTGAATGTTCTAAGCTAGATTTCTCAATGGGGTGATAATAGGAATTGTCCACGTCTATATTAACCTAAGTCCCTAAAATATGATTACATCATCATTCTGAATATTTAGTATTAAACCCACTTTATAATACAGTATGCAAAAATCAAATACTTCCATAAAGCATCTTGTATTTACCCCTTCGCAACACACATTGTATTGTAATGGCCTGTGTTTGTGTTTCTCGCGTAAGATGTAAACCTCGCTAAAGCTCGGACTGTATCTTGTTCACCATTATATAACACAGTTTAAGAATCTTCCATGTACAATGCCTCACCTATAGTAAGCACTCAAATACTTCTAAGTGAGTAACTGTAATATGAAAAGCTTAAATCATAAAGAGGGGTAAAGCAAGAAAAAACCTTTCCTGTTTATATGGTATGCTTTCTGTTTTCTTTAAAAGATCCTTTGGGGAACTAAGTTTATATTCATTTTATCTCTGATGAGCTGCAAATTAAACTTTGAGTGACTTCATGACCTCAAATCGGAAAGTAATTGCTTAACATTCTGTGCGACATACAATGTACTATGCTAAATGCCGTAAGGGGAATGGCAGTATATTACAGTGCCCCTCTAAGAGCTTTCTGTTTAACTGAACATATTATATAAACAGTTGACAATTATAAACAGCAGTAAGGTGTTTTTTTTTGTTTGTTTTTCGTTTTTGAGACAGTCTTGCTGTCGCCCAGGCTAGAGTGCAGTGCCACGATCTCGGCTCACTGCGAGCTCCACCTCCCAGGTTCACGCCATTCTCCTGCCTCAGCCTCCCGAGTAGCTGGGACTACAGCACCTGCCACCACGCCTGGTTAATTTTTTTTTTGTATTTTTAGTAGAGACGGGGTTTCACCGTGTTAGCCAGGATGGTCTCGATCTCCTAACCTCGTGATCCGCCCACCTTGGCCTCCCAAAGTGCTGGGATTACAGGCGTGAGCCACCACGCCCAGCCCCTAGAAGTAAGGTTTTTCTAATGCTTAAGAGATGTTAAAACATTATGAGGAAAATGATGCATGAGTAAGTACCTATTTTGTGAATTGCACAGGTGCTAATGCAGCCAGGAAACACAACAGGAGCAAAGAGGGGCCTGGCCTTATGCATGGGAGCTGAAGGACTGAAATTTGCATTTGATCATCTTCAACTTCTGGCACCTGTTGTCACAGTTTTCTGAGTGCCCACTGAGCTATCCACAAGCTGGCCTCCTCTGAAGAGGACAACACTCCCAAACTACTTCCACCTAACTCTGCAGAACTCCCTTCCTTCAGCGAAACCAAACTTAGCTAGCAGTTAGAGGTCACCCAACTGTGCCAGTTCCTACTAAATTACAACAGAAAGCCCCTAGAGCTCTGAAATTTAAAAAGAATCAGCCATACTTACCACCACTAGTACAAGAAGAAGGGTCCACAGCCAGCACAGATAATTTGTGCCCTCTCTCAGTAAGCATTTTTCCAAAATATTCTATAAATGTTGATTTTCCAGCACCAGGGGGCCCAGACAACCCTATGGTGGAAAGAGATCTTCTAATTCAATGAAACAAATGAAATCAGAACTACGATCAGCTTTACTGAGTAAAATATTAGACTACCTTCTAGTTCCCCTAATGTATTAAAACCACAATTCATATATTTCAGCATGTCCTAAAATGGCAAATAAAAATCTGTTTCTTTAATTCCTGAGTAATGGGGCTATAGGAAGGAAACACTCTGGGTTCCACATGTTCACAAAACTCACTTTTAAAAATTATAAAACATGCTTTGCCTTTGTACTATAAAGTAGATCTTTCTGGACAGACTTCATTGTCTCCATTGTTAATGGGCTCAATTTCTACATCTGCCCACCTCGCATCATGATCAGTAATTATTCTACCTACCTCAGTTCTGTATACTTCTTCCCACTGGAAAAACAACTCATTATTCTAGAAATTCCCAGTGATTGAGAAAGCAATTTTCTATTTATAAGGGATCATCTTTTTTCTTCATATCACTCGTAACTCAAAGAATATAAACTGAATTCTGTAAAAAATAATTTATGTTAAGAAAAGCAGAAAATTCCCCCACTTGGAGAGTTGGCAGTGCACAGCAGGTAAGAGCACAAACCCTGAAGCCACGCAGCCAGCTCTCATTCTAGCTCTACCTCCCACGAGCTGTGTGCTCTTGGGTAAGTTACTTTGAACCTCTATCTATGCCTCAGTGTCCACTGCAATAATAAAATAGATATGGTAACAGTACTTCTCTCTTCAGATTGTTTTAATAATTAGGTGAGTTAATGTCTGCAATATGTTTAGAACAGTGCATGGCATAAGAGATATATAAATGTATGTTAAATGAAATATATAAAACATAGGCATTTAACTAACTACACTCGAAGTATGTATAGTGTACGTTATGCCTGACTCCTTACCACAATTCTTAGGGCAGATCCAATACTTATCTTAAACACCTTTTTAGATGCTGAATAAACATCTGTTGCTTTTACTTATGATGAAAAAAATAACTGCAATAAAGACAGGTTTATCTGGCCTCACAAGATCAGGACGGAAGAACCAGAATAGCACTACAAAGTTACCTGTGAACTGCTAGTTAATTCCACACATTTCTGAGACATTTTTTCAAAGATTCTCTAAAATCTAGTAAGTAGGCAGTTTGTCATAACTAGAATTTCTCTGTGGGAGTTTGCTAATATCTTTGATTACCATACATAAAGATTATTAACGTCCAATGTAGTACTCTCAAAATGAGAGTCCCTCAGTCAGGGCAGAAGATTAAGAAGTCTGAAAAATGGGGACCAGTATAAATATTGGTTGGTGAGCTCTTTTGAAATTATCTTAAAGCATCTATGCCCATTACCCTAAAAACTAGGAGGCTTTTGTGTCTGCGTTGCCAATAAACTGTGAGATAAAGGTGTAATGTGACATGAAATTTTAAAAGTATTTACTCATTCTCCACAAAATTTTTGCACTTTAACCACCAAGGCAAGTTGTTTTTAGCAGGAGGGTTGGTTCAAATCACCTAGTTCACCACCATGGGACATTCTCATTAGACTTAAACTGGCTTGTTTAATTCCTGCTGGTCAAACATATCTAAATTGTTTTACAATGCACAATTTCAAAAGCAATTTCAGAACCACGTCAAATTGTTCAAGAAATCAAATGAACATCTAACATACAGACAACGAATAAATATGATCTCTTTTTTAAAGCACATTTTGATAGGCTGGGCATGGTAGCCCATGCCTGTAGTCCCAGCACTTTGGTAGGCCAAGGTGGGAGGACTGCTTGAGCCCAGGAGTTCGAGACCAGCCTGGGCAACACAAGGAGACCCCCATCTCTACAAAAAACTTTAAAAATAAATTAGTCAAGGATGATGTTGGAGGCATGATGTTGGAGCCAAGCATGATGTTGGAGCTATGATCACCACTGCACTCCAGCCTGGGTAACAGAGTGAGACTCCATCTCTAAAAATAAAATAGCTGGGCACAGTGGTTCATGCCTATAATCCCAGCACTTTGGGAGGCTGAGATGGGTGGATCACTTGAGGTCAGGAGTTCAAGACCAGCCTGGCCAACATGGTGAAACCCCGTCTCTACTAAAAATACAAAAAGTAGCTGGGCGTGGGAGTGCATGCCTATAATCCCAGCTACTCAGGAGGCTGAGGCAGGAGAACTGCACGAACCCAGGAGGCAGAGGTTGCAGTGAGCCGAGATTGCGCCATTGCACTCCAGCCTGGGTGACAGAGGAAAACTGTCGCAAAAAATAAATAAAAAATAAAAATAAATAAAATACCTTTTGCCACTGAGATGGCTGGGTTTACAGCCACTCCCAGAAACTCAATAAAAAGTACCTGAAAGAAGTGAGACTTGCCTATACAAAGACTAATGAACGACCTAAGAGGCAGAATTTTGAAATGTGATAATTATAGTTGATACGACAACAAAACAGGGAACTCACTTTAAACTATTTAAGCCAAAGGATTACTAAAAGGAATAGGAGTAAACTCATAGTAGTTCTTCCTATGAATATTTCTATCCTGGGATCCAGAGCAAGATTCTTGCCAAAATAAAAATCTTATATTCTTTTCTTAAAATTCATAGCCTTGGTTCAAATGTCATGGCAATTTTTTCAACTTAACAAAACTAATATTTGCCATGAAGACTCATTTAAAATTCATCCAAATATTGTGAAAAAAAAGTCCCCATTCAATTGCAACTATTTAGACTTTTTTAATTTTAAATAGAATACAGAGAATTTGCAAAACTATTTACTGAAAAAACACACATAAAAAGACTGACCTACTCGAAATGCTAGTGGTTTTCCTCTATTTGATTGTTCTTGTTCTCTGTGGTAAAGTAATACTTTCTGAAGAAGCACCTGGGCTAACTCCTTTTTCCTGCTGTGAGTTGATTCTACAAGAGTTATGGCCTCTGCTAAACAGGCCCTTTGCCCTTGGATTAAACCACTATAAAGTTTATCCACAAATCTTTGCTCTTTATCAGAAAGTCCTTCTGTGTGGTCCTTTAAGGTTGTTTGTACACATAATTTTCTCTTTAAACCATTTGACAGCAGCATCCACTTTGTACAATGGAGTCCAAGAGAATTAAACGGCTGAGCACATGGGATTCCTGATCCGAGATGAGTACTTGAGTGAAAGATGAAGTGGTAACATCGGAAAGATGCCCTTAAAAGGCCTTTTAGGAAATGCTGGTGAGGATGTGGTAGCAGCATGGGCATATTCATTTTATTTGTAACTGAAGAAAACACTGTATGCGTTTTGGCTCAATGTGATTTGTGACCTCCCTAGAAGAAAGAAAAACATGTTAGCCAGTTTGATATATAACTAAAATACTGAAGGAGTAAAATTTGAAAGCCTAGTGTTTCCCCCATATTCTAAACCACACATAATCAGAGCTTTTGGTAGTACAAATGGGTGAAAGTTTTCTTACTAAATAAACTTAAAAGAGAAGACCCCCTCCATGGCCACAGTTAATATTTGGAGTAACCCAAATAATGGAACTGCTACTCTACTGCGAAGGGGAATTTACATTAACATTTTCTTTTAATAAAAACAATATATAAAATACCACTAGGGTAGAAACTTTATGTTATGCTTTCTCTTACATTCATCTTAACAGTTTCCTCAGGTCAATATACCAGATTCTGAAGCTCATACAAAAGGTTAAAAAAAAATGAATCTCTCTGATGCTGTCCTTGTATTCAGTCTCCACAAAAAGAAATGTGACTACTAGGGTGGGCACTTCAGGTATAAGTTTAGATACATGTTTGTATTCAATAGACTCATCCTTGAACACAGATGTATGCAAAAAGTAGCCTAACTTAAAGCACACAAATAAGCCATAAGTGAACTGTAGGAGTTGTGTAGTAACCAGATCAGTGTATCTCAAAGTACAGTCAGAGCCACCCGGGTGCTTATTTAAAATTCACATTCCCAGCCCCACTAATCAGAATTCCTGTAGATTCACATTAAAGTTTGAACCACTATGAAATTAGATAACGATCTTTTCTATGATGATATACTGATATTCTCTACTTCAAATTGTATTAAAGAATGAAAGTTGACATGGTATGCCGAGTCAGGGCAGTGCAGAGGTTATGAGCCATGGTCACTATGAACCTCTGCCATTTAAGCAAAAATAACCTTAGGCAAATTACTTGACCACTCCATTCCTCAGCTTCCTCTTGAGTAAAGAGAATATGTACGAAAGCAGAGTGGTTATGAGAACAAACTGACAATTCTTGTAAAAAGCTTAGAACAGTGTCTACCATGGAGTAAGAGTTCCATTAACCTTAGCTTTTATTTTAATTACACCAAGTTATGAAACATTGGTAATAATTCTTCCAGTAGCAAAGTAAAATTTACAGTTACATGTAACTCACCCAGTTTGGGTTTATGAGTATTTGTAAATTTTGGTTGATTTTCAAGCACCTTGTGGCATGATGGAATAAATTATTGCTCCAAGATACACCTCTAAATGGTACTTCAAGGCCAATGAACATGAAATTAATTTTAGTTACTTAACATTCTATTAGGGAAAAAGAATAGTTTAAGATTTTTTAAACTGGTAGAATTATAAGTGCTCATCAGTTTTCCAAAAACAACATTTTCTCTATTGTGGGGGGTGGGCATTATAACGTCTATTTGTACAAAATTAGCCTTGTTCTAAAAGGACAATTCAAAATGTACAAAAGTGTTTCTAAAAAACAATTTTAAAAGATCTAATGTCACCTGTCACACAAACACACAAAAAGACGTTTAAAACAAAACTTTAAGAGGGAGTCTACTTTGGAAGCTCTCTTTCAATACCACCTTTAAGCACATTTCTCATCAACACCACTACCACTACCAACAGACTGGAATCCCACAGGCAAGAACTGTATTTTTATTCAACCACTATCTTCTAAGCACATACTACTTTTCAGGTCCCATGATAGGTGATAAGAGTAATGGTGACTATAGTAATGGTACTGATGGTGATGACAATAGTATTTGATTGTGTTCCAGCCATTATACCATAACCTTCTATTAATACATTAGTTCCTTAGAGCTGCTGTAACAAATTACCATAATTACCGTAACAGAATTAGTTACTTAATTACATTGCAAAGACTCTTTTTCCAAATAGGGCCACATTCACAGGTTCCAGGGATTAGGATGTGGACACATCTTTTTGAAGGCCACATTTCTTAGGCAGGCCACATTTTCTTAGGCAGGATGCCTAAGAAATCAATCTGCCACATTTTCTTAGGCAGGATGCCTCACTCATTATCTTATCTTAAATCCTAGCACTTCAAGAGCTCACAGAATAAAATACATCCCATCAAAGAAAGAACAAAGTGCCATGGGAACAGATAAGATTACAGGAGCTCACTCTCCTTGGGGAATTCAAGTCAGAGGAGTCCAAGTCACGACCGAGTCTGAAATAACAAAAATGTTGAAGAAGGTTGAGGCAGGCTTTCCAGGCTGAGGACTTAAATGTGCAAAATCAGAGTTGGGACTTGGTCTCTTCCCTGTCATGTCAGAGAAAATGGAGAAATTCAGTAAGGCAGAAGCTGAAGGTATATGAAAATACTGATAGGAGATGAGGCTGGACTGGAGGTAAACTGAGGTCAAGAAATTAAATTTTGTCTTGTGGGCAGTGGACAAATGACAGAGTAAAACCTTTATGGAGGTGACATAATCAACTTTGCTTTTGAAGAGATAACTCTAGAAGCAGTGACATGACGTCAAGAGTGATGAGACTTTTTAAGAGAGCCCAGTTCAGGAGGCCTAGCAAGAAACCAAAGGAGATGATGAGGACCTGGACTTAGGCAAGGTATTAAGGAATGGAAAAGAAAAGCCTGATTTAAGACCTTCTTGACCTATGCTACCTTGTTAGAATCCTCAAAGTTTGACGTGGAGCCTGGACTGCTTAAATAAAAAGAAAAAAAGAGCTGCTGCTGATCTGAACTTATTTCATTCCCCAAATGCCTGGCACATTACAGTCTACAAGCCACTTTCAGATACTTTATTTCACCTTATTCTCCAGTTAATTCCATGAGGGCAATACAACAGTTTTTATTTTCATTTAACAGAACGGGGAAAGAACATTGAGAGACTGAGTGATTACAGTCATAGCCAGTGGCAGGGCCAAGATTCAAACCCAGGTTGTTTGACTCTCTATGGCAGGCATTCCTTAACAAATTATATTAACATAACAGAGAAGTCCTTTGGCTACAAGGGAAGTAGATATTAGTAACTCTGCCCAACTTCTGAAGTAAGAAGTCTTTTCAGTTGCAGTGATGGTGGTGGCATGAAGAGGAGCCAAAGAACAGAGAGAGGAAATCTGCAGGATAGAAAACATTATTACCAAATCTAGTCCTATTGTCCCATAGGGAAGATGTTGTCATATGTAGTCTAAGAGCAAATTAGAACTATTTAAAATATGCTCCTTAATTAACAAGTCTTAACATGACTACCTCCTATTACCAAACAAGCTGTGTTCAAAAAAAGAGTGACAGAGGTGGTCAGGGTCGGAGCAGGATAGCAGAATACAAGGCTTCACCAATCATTTTCTACCTGGTTTTAACTTTGTATCACTCAAAGAGGCACTGAAGAGGCAGGAAAAACCATTTTGAATCCCCAACACCACCCCTCTCCCATTCCCTGACGGCAGTGGCATGATGGAGAGAGCATTTCTGTGCGCTGGGGAGAGGGAGAACATAGCAACTTTGAGGCAGTGCCATCCTGCTATAGCAGAAAGCAAAACCTGAAAACTCAGCTGGCACCACACACAGAAGGAACTGTTTTAAACCAGCCAGAGAGGAATGGCTGTTCCCAGCACTTGAAACTTGAGTTTCCTGAGCTCAGAGAAGCCTAGCCACTGTGGGTTAAAGTGCTCTAGTGTCTCAATTAAACTTTAATGGCAGTCTAGGCCACAAGGACTGCAACTCCTAGGCAAGTCCTAGTGTTGAACTGAGCCCAGAGCCAGTGGACTGGGGGGTTTCGGGGCCAGGGGGGCGAAACATAACCCAGTGAGACACCAGCCGGGGCAGCAAAAGGAGTGTTGGCATCACTCCTTCCCTAATCCCAGGCTGCACAGCTCATGGCTACAAAAGAGACACCTTCCTTCTGCTTGAGGAACGGAAAGGGAAGAGTGGGGAGGACTTTATCTTGCATCTTGAATATTCTCAGTCACAGCAGGATGGGGCACCAGTTAGAGTCATGAGGTTCCCCCTTCCAGGCCCTAGCTCCTGAACATTTCTAGACACACCCTGGGCCAGAAGGGAACTTGCTGCACTGAAGAAAAGGAGCCAGTCCTGGCAGGATTCATCACCTGCTGACTGAAGAGCCCTTGGGCCCAGCAGCAATACCAAGGTATTACATCGAGGGCCTTGGGTGAGAGACTCTGAGACTTGCTGGCTTCAGGTAAGACTCAGCACATTCCTAGCTGCAGTAGGTACAGGGCGAGGCTCATTCTGCTTGAGAAAAGCAAAGGGAAAAGTAAAGTGGAATTTGTCTGGCATGTTAGGTACCAGCTTGGCTACAGTGGGGTAGAGAAACAAATGGGCTCTTGGTTTCCCCAATTCCAGGACTTGGCTCTTCGATGGCATTTCTGGACCTGCCCTGGGCTAAAGGGGAGCCCACTGCCCTGAAGGGTAAGTCCCTGATCTGGCAGCATCACCTCGAGCTGACCAAAGAGCCCCTGGACCTTAAGGGAGCATCAGTAGTAGTCGAGTAGCACTCTTCATGGGCCTGTGGCAGAGGCAGTCATGGGGTGAGGCTCCTCTGCCTTTGGAAAAGGGAGAAAAGAATGGGAAGGATGCTGTCTTGTGGTTTGAACACCAGCTTAGTCACAGTAGAACACAGCATCAGGTAGATTTCTAGAATTTTTGACTCCAGGCTTTTACTCCTGGATGGCATCTCTGGACTTACCTGGAGCCTGGGGGAACCTACCATGCTCAAAGGAAGGACATAAGCCTGTCTGGCTTTGCCACTTACTGACTGCACAGCCCTAGGAATCTGAGTGAACATAAGAGATAGGTAGTAGTTACAGTGGGCTTTTGGTGAAACCCAGGGCTGTGTTGGACTCAGGTCTGACCCAGTGCAGTTACAGTGGTGGTGACCACAGGGCTGCTTGTATAATCCTATCCCCAGCTCCAGGTGGCTTGAAGCAGACAGAGACTTTGTTTGGGAGAAAGAACGGGAAGAGAACAAGAGTCTCTGCCTGGTAATCCGAAGAATTCTTCAGGATCTTATCCAAGATCACCAAGGTAGTACCTCTATGACTCTGCAAGGACCA